GGGGGTAATTTGCAAAGTACCCCCAGAGAAGGTTGAGAAGGTAAAATAAACATAAAATTGTGATACTTTTCTCCACACCACAACAAAGGTGCTTGGATTTAAAAATTCAACTTGCAACTCTAGAAGAAAAAGAGAAGAAACAATTTACAACCCCAAAATATTTTCCAGAAAAATGACAAAACTGGTAACTACCTAGAAATGTTATTAGTGAATCAAAGTGCAGGTAATCACAGCATTAACATCAAATGTATTTGAAGACTCAAAGTTTTACATGTTGTCGATGACAAATAACTAGTTGATTTTTTAAGGTGGTAGGTGTGAAATAAAGATAATACAAATCTAATTTTTCCAGGAACTATAGCACTCCCCTGTCCCCATGAAATTAAATTATGATTTCACTGTTCAACATAATATAAAACTGTTTTGAGTAAGAGTGAAATAGAAGCATGAATTTAGATATGCACCAAACCCTATATGATGGACTAATTCACATGTAGTATTTTTTATAACAACCTAATTAGATATTGTCTTTCATTGCTTGCTATAATTCTGAGAAACTGCTTTTAACAACATACCTTTACGCTACCACTTAACTAAATGGGGACATATAAATACATAAATTTTTAAAGAAAAAAATTCAAATTATTTAGAGGAGAAATAAAACTTCAATTATTTCCTTTTTTTATTATTATACTTTACGTTCCAGGATACAAGTGCACAACATGCAGGTTTGTAACACATAGAAGCTGCATTTAGATAAAAAGGTATATGGCTTATGATACTTTCCACAATGTAATGAATTTATATTCCAATTTTCTCATAAATGAAAGATTGTAAAGCAAAATATTTTGTTCCTTGAAAATAGTCTCTCTTTTCTCCTAACCCTGGTAAGAACAATTAGTGAGCCCTTGATTTCAAGACTGTTGCTGTCATCCATGTCAATTGTCTTTTTCATGAAGTATAATATTTCGAGAGAAAGAGAGAGATGTAAAAATTAAAGAGAAAAACCTGCTTTTGGAATGCAACAATTCTAAATCATTTCACTAAGAAGCACCCTTTGATATGCTGGTCTGAACTTTTAATTTAGAATCTAAACAGTACTTATTTCGGAAGTAGAATTTTCTCCAGTTTTAATAACTTCATATATAGCAATACTAAGGACATTAACCCGTGCTTTTGAGATTTTGGTAGGTGTTCTAATAATGTAATATTTTAGATATGGCTCATTGTCAAGATTGGGTGGACAGAGATTTCATGAACTGGCTACAGAAAGCTAACTAAACTCTTAATGACTGAATAATGGTTTGCATTTTGCTTGAGCCAAAAAAGATGTTTAAGCCATATACTACCACATTCCCTCCTTAACATTCCTAAGTTTCTGAATTCTTCATAGTTTTCTAATGAACATATAGTTTTCCTGAGTAAGAGTATTAAAAAGTTAACCTTTCTTCCAAAAGTATAAAAATAAATAAAATACAATTTTTTTTACATAGCATTAAAGGCACAGAGATATTGACCCCTCCTCTTCATTATGATTGGCCCATCCCTTTAAAAAGACAGCAAGAGGCCGGGCGCGGTGGCTCACGCCTGTAACCCCAGCACTTTGGGAGGCCGAGGCGGGCGAATCACAAAGTCAGGAGATCCAGACCATCCTGGCTAACACGGTGAAACCCCATCTCCACTAAAAATACAAAAAATTAGCCGGGCGCGGTGGCGGGCGCCTGTAGTCCCAGCTACTCGGGAGGCTGAGGCCGGAGAATGGCGTGAACCCGGGAGGCGGAGCTTGCAGTGAGCTCAGATTATGCCACTGCACTCCAGCCTGGGTGACAGAGCATATCCCTCATCTACTGTGTTGCTAGGGAACATATGTGAGCAAAATCTATCATGCACACTTCAGCAATCTCTTGGCAACCAGTGGGAAGGTGGTAGAAAACGTTTTCCAATTAGAAAAGTACATTTCCATTTAAATGTTCTTGTGACTTGCTTTTCCACCCATTGTCTTGCTCCAGATTTTCAACTTTCAATAAAGTCTGACTGTGATGCTTTTTCGTATACATTTTCCTGCGACGAGCATACATCTCGAACAAGCTTTTGCCTACTGAAGCCTCTATTTTTCCATTCGCTGTGGAACTGAACACATGAAAGTTACTGTAGCACTCTAGTACTTCCGTGTCTGACAGTTTTCCTTGGACAAAAACTTTTCTGCCAAATTTCTGTCGTTCAGTTTTGTGGTGGTTGCCTGAGACGAACCTTCACAAACAAAGTAATGAACTTGTGTAAAAGTTAAGCTGCTTCTGGTTTTCAAACCACTGCGGAGTTTTCTCAATCTT